CGGCTTCCATTTTTGAACGTACAAATTCACCTATCAGAAAATGGCTACATTACAAAGTGGTACCGAAAGCCAAGTAGTAAAAACATCTTGGTTCATTACCTCTCCTCTCACCCCTCTCACACGAAAAGGGCGCTTATAAGAAACATGTTTCGAACAGCAACCAACGTGTGCACGGGAAGAGAGCAGAGAGAGGAGTCCCGGAACTTGGCACGGCAAATAGCCATTTCTAATGGCTACGAAACTGTAGCTCAGGATAGGTGTAGAGGAAATTGTAGGCCTCCAAACGACAACTCTAGCGATAGAAGGGTCCCGTTTATCCTACCCTTCATCTCAAATGATATAAGTACAGCTATAAAACGCTGCTTAAGAGGGGCGGGCTTAGAGAATTCGGTGAGCGTAGTTGAAATACCACCGAGTAATCTTAAGCGCCAGCTAGTTCGTAACCGCCTATATGACCGTCTATTTGCAACTCAAAATTGCATAATTTGCCCCAGTGGTAGAGACGGTGATTGCATGAGCTCGGGTATAGTTTATCTGATCTCTTGTAAGACGTGTGGTGACGAATACATTGGCGAAACGGGTGTTCCTCTGTGTCCGCATGAAAGAACACCTAGCCGACAAAAATAGACCAAATACCCCGCTAGGCATGCATAGGACCCAGAGACATAACGGGGACGACTTCGAAGTATGTGTCACGATCCTCGCACGGGAATCAAGAACACAGGCGCGAAAAACTCTCGAGGCATTCTGGATTAATTCCAGAAATCCGAAAATGAACCGCAGGTAAGAATGCCTCATTATCACGCGTGATATAGGGCAGTATATAAAACTGCTTTTCTGATGTGAGGGGCACATTATACTTCCACGTGATTTCCGTGCGGTTGGTCTCTACGTGACATACTTAGTGGAAACCTCATAGAAAGCGGTAAGTGTGCAAAGCTGTGTTCAAAGTGATTGAAATCTTTGTTTGGAGTTTCTTTGTTTGGTTATGGAGGCGTATGGCCGAGTGGATTGCTATCAACTTGACCTTTCCAGGCTCTGAAGAAGGCGAAATCCGCCGAAACGTCAGCTTAATCGTGAACAAAGAATAGTAACACCTCGCGTTTGCTCAACAAAAATACCAATAAAATATTATAATTCGGCTCGGAGCTATTAGAATCTGCAGGTTTATTCTAACAAGCTACGAGATTCTTTTGAAATCCAGTACCACAAAATTCCCAAGTACTTGGGCAGAAAAATTCTCCGAAATTTTTGTCACCAAAAACATGATTGCTGGAGGTTTTTTTCTAAAATTGATTAGCAAGATATCTGGAAAAATGATAACTGCTTTTCAAGCTGTATGGTGGGCAGCTTGGATGAGGCAGAGTCTCGTAGTTCACTTCATTCAACTTCTAACGGGTAGTTTTGCAGCTTGTTGTCGATCATTGTTGTGCAAGAAAACTCCACCTTGTTTCGCGCCAAATTCTGGATGCGTACATCGAAATTTTTGATGTTGTGGTGACTTTTGAATTGCTTCCACGGAAAGGTATTCAATTCCGAATTCATGGATAGAACTACACAAATGTGTCAACTAAGTCAACCTGAAATCACAGTAAGTCAGCTGTTCGAAAAGCTATTTCAGTCAACCGTGGTAGAAATGGTATAGGTTAGAGCATTCGTCGTTAACCAATATGCGCTAAGCATTCGAGTTCGTGAAGCATCGTAAAGCTGATCAAATGCACATTCCGCCTCAATAATGCATTACGGTGGCCCACCGATGTACCAGGTCAGTGTTTTATCACTTCAAATAGGCCTGACGGGACGTATTGCTGTTTAGTGAGCTGCGGGCGCACGATCCAGGTTGTACTGCTGTATTGCAGAACACCTCTAATGGCAGCGCTACACGTGCCTCCCAAGTCAAATAGCAAGCCAGAAAATGTGCTTTAAATCTTTGAAACAAAAGAGGCGGTTTTTCAAGTTTTGTTTCTGAGTTTACGTAAAACAACATGTCGTAACGTACAGTGGCCTAACGTACGGCCATGTTTGTCTACCTTTTCGGGTTTCTTATGCTATATTGTAGTGAAACGGAATCATATGCGTTTGTTACTCCTAGATTCGTACAGGAGCGGGAAAAGGGAGTTTTTGAACAACTACTCGGGATTGGCTTTAATCATCGTGCACAGTGCCACCAAACATTTGACCAACAGGTGATGGAACATAGAGCAGTGAGAGAATGACTAAACACATATAAATGCGTCGTTTTCTTGTTCAGCAATCGCGAGGTTGTTAAACAGCATGCATTTACTTCTATAGAAAAACACAATACAATACAACAGTAGATGACGTTTCGGCAGTATCGCCTTCTTCAGAGTCTGGAAGGGTATACTGATATACAATCTACTAGGCCAAACGCTTCAATAACACTTACACAAAGACGAAAGACTCTTTGGTAATTACACGATCAACAACTCGAAAAACGCACCGCTTTTTCGTGAGTTCCAATGAGGAAGTTTAGAACAGCTGATTATAGTCGCATATGGTTGATGACTACACCATCCCACGTCAGAAATTGATGCGAACATACGGAGTCAGGTTGCGTATGAGCTCTGGGTATTCCTCCCTGCTATTCATTGTAGGGTTTTTGGCATTTATCCAAAAAGCCTCAAGAAGTTTTCGCGCCGGTGTTTTAGTCTCTCTTTAGGTGTTTTAAAAGCATAGCGGAGACGATTTTGAAGTAAAAGTCTATATCCTTGCAGAGGGATGAATTCCCGGAGTTCATACGCGACCTGGCCCCGCATGTTTGCATCAATTTCTGATGTGGGATGGTGCAGTCGTCAACCATATGCGACTATAATCAGCTGTGCTAAACTTTCTCACTGAAAGTCACGTAGAAAGCGGTGAGTTTTTCGAGAAGTTGTTGATCATGTAGTTACCAAAGAGTCTTTCGTCTTTGTGTAAGTGTTATTGAAGCGTTTGGCCTAGTAGATTGTATATCAGCATACCCTTCCAGGCTCTGAAGAGGGCGATGCTGCCGAAACGTCGACTAGTGTTGTATTGCATTGTGCTTTTCTATGGAAGTAAATGTATGCTGTTTAAAAACCTCGCGATTGCTGAACAAGAAAACGACGCATTCATATTCCAATTCCTAGGTTAATATAAAGTCGATCCTGGGAACTGTTACAAGATGTACCAGCGAAATACTTTAAACTAATATAATCTAGCTAGCAGTATTGGTGAAATCGAAAGTGGCTGGCTTTAATTGAGGTGAACATCATTGGAAAACTGGTCACAAACCGAGAAAACAAAACCTGAAGTGCGGTAGGAGTAACGGAGCAGAATGGTAGATGAAAGTAACCAAAACATCTTCATACTACGCACCATGGCGAACAAAAAACTAGTAAACCTCTAAAAAACTAATAGTATACAGTGGTGAAAGAGAGAAACAGGGGAAGGTGTGTTGAACATAGATTCATACATCCATACACACACGTACAAATACAAATACACACACATACACACGAACGTACATACATATATATATATATATATATATATATAATTCCTTCCATTGGACGAAATGAAATGTATGGATAGTTGAACAGACATAATTGAGCAAAGTGGTGAGAACTGACAAGCACCAAAACCACGAAACGCTGAGGAATCGAGGATGCACAGAACACTGCGCACAGATCTCGACGATTATGGCCGGTGAAAACTAGAAGAAAGGCCAAACTGAGAATCGGAAAGATAACATGTGTCGTTCGAGCGAATAACTGTACAGAAAGCAACCATTTCGCGAAAATATTTACCTTTGCCGACTGTAAATCACTACTGTAACGAATTGTCGGCATTGATCCAATGGTTTACTTAGATAATAACAAAGGTGTATATATGTATGTGTGGGTGTGTGGGTACATGTCGACGCGAATCATTAGCATTAAAGATCGGTTTGCGTTGGCCTTGTGGTCATCGCTGCCTGCCATAACGGCCATTCGCGAGATCGTGGCTGTTGACTGCTCAGCACACTCACACGTACATACACAGACAGCACGATTTCGTCGAATAGTTTACGAATTTCAAAATTCAGAATAATAGTTACGATTGCTTTGAAGTGTCACCAAGTCGTCGTCGTCGACGTAGTGCATCGTATCGGACTCGATCGCTCGCCAATAGTTCGAATTCATCCAGGCTTTGTCGACCTGCAACAATGGCATATGGATATCAACGATCGACCTTAGATGAACAAGTGGAGCAAAGTGATTTCAGGGAAAGCGGTTAATCAGGGAGGAGGACGATAGGTGACTGAACTACTTTATTTACTGCTTTTCTCTAAGTTTGCATTTACCACCATGGGAGCGGTTCTTCATAGTGTTCTCTCTTAGAAACCCTTGCAACGAACTCAAAAATAGATAGAAGTTATTAAAGCTATGACTATGAGTTTTTCTTTTCATATGGTGCTTGTTACAATCATTGAGATATTGTAGGAAGAACTCACATAATCAAGAAATTTTTATGGACAGGCTAATACTTGATACTTACTTGATACTTGAATGGCCCATCCTCACTGGTTGTGCGAGCCCCAAAATAATCTCCATTTTCGGAAATTTTCTAGTTAAGCCACTGTGTTTTTCTGGAATCCCGAGGTCAGCCTAGCCAAAATCTGGCCTAGATCTTCACCACCACAGGCATTCGCAGCCATTGTGGATCAGAGGGAGATTTGCCACCAATGCTACTTTGATACCAAGACGGTGGTGGATCATGGTGTTGGTCTATTTTTAGTTAGGATTCCTGAAAGAAACGCTGGACACCTCAGATTGGGAGACCCTGTCAGGGGATGAATTCCCCGCTGTTTATCGCAATCCGACATCCAGGAATACCTCTCAGCCACTATGAGGCGGTTAACCATTGGGAGGAATCCAGGAATGTCAGTTATGATTTGCGAACTGATTTACTACTTTAAATTTTTTCGATCTACAAAATTTCTGTAGCATGTAACTGTGAAGTGAAAAAGGAAATGGAACCAGAGGACCATGAGGATAAGGAGGACGACTCACTCTTAATGTTGCTAATTCCCCCGCTTCGACTTTGATGGCGTTATCAACGAATTGTTCAAGATTCAACGTCTCCAACTCTTCGATAGGAACATTGAACTGGTCCCCAAGATTCTTCACTAGCGCTTTCATGGACATCCTGAAAAATTAGATCTCGAGAGATATCTCAGCACCATTATGGTTGTATCACATGTAAAAAAAGCAGCGTTCAAAATATCCTTCATCCAGCATCACTTCTTTTAGGTTTGTTTAGCAATTTATTGATATAATACTAACTTAGAAAGAATGGATTTGTTTATTGCACCGCAAATATAAAAAACTACACTCTTCTAAAGGGTTAGAATGTAGGTCGGTATAGCCCGAAATTGGTACTCAGATGGGCACACAGACATGAAGAGCACGATGAAGTGTGCACTATTTTTTGTGAAAGTAGTTCCGAAGATAGAAGCGGAGCAGACGAACTTTTTGCCACCGAACCACACTTGAATGCTGGCGACGTTCTCGACTTTTCGTCCGAAGTAATGTAGTTTCTTGAGCGCATCGGCAGCGATCTCTATGGCGATCGTCGTCAGCGCCAAGCCGATGGCGCAGTACATCAGAGTGATCACCTGAAGCTCAGCGTAAGTATAAGCCGTCCTACTTGTACAAAAATCAGATCCTCTCTCACCAGGTAGGTGTCGCTCTGCGGCACCAAATCCCCGAGACCGATAGTTGTCAATGTGACAAAATTGAAGTAAATTGCCTAAAACTCGCAACATGTAAAGACTTGCTCTAGTGAAAGCCTGTCTTATATTGTATGTAAAAGCATTTCAATGAAAGGGAATAGGACAATTACTTTAAAAAATATTGATAATACGGCAATTTTCAGATAGCCTAAGGAGTTCTCAAGATGAGGACCAATTAACAAACTCTGATAAGAGATCCTACGAGCGACATTCTATTAACATCGGCATTGATCGAATAGTTCTCGATATTCTTGTTGAGCAAACACGAGGCGTTACTTTCTACGTACTGCGCGTCCCAACAGCACGCACGTGATGGAGTCTTCCGACGCTACCGCCCTTTATACAAACGTGTGGAATGATTCTGCTGTGCAAGCCATCCGTGAGTTCCTTATGCAACACGAACATGTATAGTTTCTCGATTCAGCAGTTGATGACACTCTTAAACCGGTGCCTAAACTGCTGTCTTCAGATGATTCGGAAAGTACTACTCTTAAATAACAGGGCTAGCAATGGGACAGAGACTGGCACCAAACCTTGCCATTGCATTTATGTGGAAACACCAGTAATAGACCACGGGCCATTACTCTGCTGTAGATATAAAGATGACTGCTTTGTCATTTGCTCCACACAAAAGGAGATGGACAAATGTTTTGAGTTACTAAATGAACAGTCAGAGTATATTGAGTTCAATGAAGCTGAGTTATTTGCAAAACTCCGGAGCGCAGGTGTCTGCGGTGGGGAACGAAGCCGCTATAATCCTTTCCGAGGAGTAACGTGTTCACCACCACACCATGCGGGTCCTTCGTTTCGCCTGTCTCCGTCCTGATTTGTGCTCCCCAGATCAATCTCGTTGGCGGGTGATTGCTGATGGCAAAAGATCGATAGAAATAGCTGAGAGACAGGCGAAACAAAGGACACGCATGGAGTGGTGGTGAACGCGTTACTCCCCGGAAAGGGTAATAGCGCGTTCGTTCCCCACCGCAGACACCTGCGGTCTGGAGTTTTGCAAACAACTCAGCTTCAATGTTATACCTTTTTATTTTCTGCCTACTATAATTTCGCGGCAGGGTACTAAGCGAAATACAACCACAACGTTGCTGAAAAATTTGCAAAACTCTGGGCCGCAGGTGTATATGGTGGGGAACGAACGCGCTATTACCCTTTCCGGGGAGTAACGCGTTCACCACCACTCCATGCGTGTCCTTTGTTTCGCCTGTCTCTCAGCTATTTCTATCGATCTTTGCCGCAGCAAACTCACCTTCATTGAAGTTATATTGCTAACTCAGCTTCATTGAAGTTATATTTCGCAATATACCCTGCCATTAAAAAGAGCGGGCAGTAAATAAAAAGGTTAAGATTATATCAAGTTCACCCGAGAGAAGCCGACGGAAAACTGGCTTCCATTTCTGAACGTGCAAACCAACCTATAAGAAAGCGGCTACATTAAGAAATGGTACGGAAAGCCAAGTAGCAAAAACATACTTGTTCATTACTTCTCATCTCACCCTTCACACACAAAAAGAGCGCTTGTAAGAAACATGTTTCCAACGGCAACCAACGTGTGCACGGAAAGGAGTAGAGAGAGGAGTCCCGGAACTTGGCACGGCAAATAGCCATTTCTAATGGCTACGAAACTGTAGCTCAGGATAGGTGTAGAGGAAATTGTAGGCCTCCAAACGACAACTCTAGCGATAGAAGGGTCCCGTTTATCCTACCCTTCATCTCAAATGATATAAGTACAGCTATAAAACGTTGCTTAAGAAGGACCGGTCTAGGGAACTCGGTAACGATAATTGAAGTGCCACCGAGTAATCTAAGAGGCCGGCTAGTTCGTAACTGCCTATATGACCTTCTATGTGCAACGCGAAATTGCATAATTTGCCCCAATGGCAGAGACAATGATTGCATGAGCTCGGGTACAGTTTATCTGGTCTCCTGTAAGGCGTGCGGAGACGACTACGTTGGCGAAACCGATAGACCATTCTGTGTTCGCATAAAGGAACACCTAGCCGGAAAACATAAACCAAATACCCCGCTAGGCACGCATAGGACCCAGAGATATAACGAGGAGGACTTTGAAGTTCGTGTCACGATCCTCGCACAGGAAACAAGAAGGCAAGGGCGAAAAACTCTCGAGCCGTTCTGGATTAATTCCAGAAATCCGAAAATGAACCGCAGGAAAGAATGCCTCATTATCACGTGTGATATAGGGCAATATATAAGCCCGTTATTCTGATGGGATGGGCACATTACGCTTCCATGTGAATTTTGTGCGGTTGGTCTCCATGCGTCAGTGGAACTCATAGAAAGCGGTGAGTGTGCAAAGACTCAATGTTCAATGTCATTGAAATCTTGGTTTAGTGTTTTCTCTGTTTGATTATAGAGGCGTTTGACCGGGTAGATTGCTGTCAACTTGGCCTTTCCAGGCTCTGAGGAAAACGAAATCCGCCGAAATGTCAGCTTTAACGGAATAAAGAATAAAGCAACACCTCGTGTTTACTCAACAAGAATGTCGAGAACTGTCTGATAAGAGAATCTGCTCTAGTTGTAATCTTGCGGATTTCCATATTATACTTTTGGAAAAAAAAACTGTGCCCGCTAGAATTTAAATGGAATTGTCACTGATGAGTTCTTTCATTAAGACTATGTAATAAACCAAGCTCTTATATACAGATGAGGGTGCAGAAGCAGTGTAGAGTGCGACTAATTTTCCCAGTAATTCGATGAACGATATGAAACAAAAAGTGACGAGAAGAACTATACAATGCGATAAAGTATGAAGAGTCCGAAAGACCGACTTTCTATAAACCTCGGCATAGATAGTTGATATATTTATTTATATGGTCTTATAGACAGATCTTCTTAAGCTGACGCGAGTTTGGTACAGATCTTCGTTGTCGTTGTCGTTGTTTTTGATGTTGTTGGTCGATGGCCGACGTTTCAGCTACTTCGCCTTCCTCAGAGCCATGATGTTACGAGTGGGACTCGTCCACTGAGCTTCACCGCTCTGAGGAAGGCCAAATCGCCGAAACGTCAGCCATCGACCAACAACATCAAAAACAACGACAACGACATCGAAGAGCTGTACCAACCTCGCGTCAGCTTAAGAAGATCAGTTTATAAGAGCATATTAATAAATATATGAAGAATAGTGTTCGATGTTGACCAATGCCTTAAGGATGCACCATATGTTCGAACTTTATCACACATTTTAGAGATGCATATTTAGTCCATTGGCTGGCTAAGAAACAAAGAAACCAGTATGTTAAGCTAGAGTTTTGTCCTAGCAAATGCAAAGGGTAGCATTTGCCAGCGCCGTAAGGTTGGAGTGCTTGATTCGCCCGGGACTGGCACGGGATCGAACCAGCGGCAGTGTGTGTATCACAGGATGCTAACCACTGTGCAACATCTGCTCAAGCCATGGTGTAATTTTAATGAACTCCACGCAGTAAGTTTGCTTTTTCTGCTCTTTGTCTTCTCTAATTTGCAAGATATGAGGGCTGAAATTGATGGTTGAGCTCAAAGTATCGACGAATTCTGCTCGATTTCCATGTGAGCAACTGAACCTTAGGAAGATGATGTACACAGAAAAGCGAACTTGTTTCTTGTCTCATTCACGCTCGACGGAATGAGCAGAGCCGAATACCACTGCAACGTATATAGCGCCCAGAAGTTAAGTGAAAGCCTTCAGAAACATCGAGGATGTGTTGAAGAAGAGAAGTAACAGCTAATATCTCGTCAGCCTTCGCTAAGTAACCAGATCTAAAGATTACTCAGTGCTATTTAACACGCAGTCGATAGGGCGATCCTGTGATTATCCTGAAAATGAAAGGACGATTTGAAATCTCCGACCTACGTCAATGATAAAAGCTCACAGAGGGGCCTGCTATGAACAAAATGGCGAAAATCAGCCGGACTGGGCATACCATGTATCTCAACAACAACCGACCAACAAGACTCATTAGCGACCGAATCCCACACAAGGTCAAACGCAATGCAGAAAGACCACCGATCCCAATGGTAAACGTCTCAAGAGAGTGCACGAACCAATGGGCTATTCTGCCAGCTCGGCTGAGTCGACGATTAACGGGAGGATAGAGAGCGATGTATATTAGTATGCCATAGTGATAGCACTCGCCCAGATAGAAAGCCAAGAAAATAATTTTTACGAATAATTCTTGTTAGAACAAATATTTGATGCAATGAAGAATTATGCTATTTCATCAAAGGTGTCTTTCAACTCGTCATCGTTAAAACTTATGAGATTTTTTCTTTGGTATAGCAGTCACCTGATTACGAGATGAAATTCAAATTTTTCTTCATGTGCAACATGGTACTATCCGTTCTTCTAAGCAATGAGAACAAATCTGGAATTTTGCTTATCGCGAGCTGTAAAAAATATAGGGCCCACTGCCATTACCATTTTTCACTGACAAATTCTACTAATTTGTTGCACAAAACGGATTTAAGCAGGTCAAATTGAACTGTGCCTTCATGGAGGAAAACAAGACTAGATGACAGTAACGTGGTGATCGCAAGTGGCGACAGCTTTCAAGTGTTGAAGTGAAAGATTTATTTTACGGATTCTACAGTTAATATAGCGACTAGCGATGCTAAAGCGGTGGTGGCGCAGTGGTCGGAGGCGCCATGAAACACGCAAGTGGAATCGGTCCCCGCGCCCATGGGCCACTAAGACTTCCATCTCTCAGGGGTCGGTAAATTGGTACCAGACTTGTCTAGAAGGATAACAGCACTGGCTCGATACATCGGTAAGCAACCGCGGGTCATTGTAAAGGTCTCATATGCAGTCAATCACCTCCAACGTTACTTAGTGAAATCGAAAGCATGGCGCATCCCTCAGAGATAGGTCAACGCCGAGAGCTTTATCCTTTTACCTTTTATAGCGATTACCAATGCAGTTAAACTACTTAGGTACTTTGCGACGGTATTCATTCAGCGGTTTAGCATGAACTCTATCCTACTCAATTTAACCGTAACCTACTTAAGTTTATCATAGCTCATGGTTAACAGCA